TGCCTAATCTATCTACCCATGCCTTAAAATAGGGGCCAATTTTGACCATCTGGGCACAACCCCTTGTAACCCTAACCCTAACCCTAACCCAAGTCTGGAGCTTGTCACTTTTCGAACTTTACTGGCACTTTCTCGAACTTCTGGCACTTATGTTTCCCCTTCTACCTCCATGACCAGCAGTCCAATCGTAAATCCAAAACATGCCACACGGTCCCCAAACTTTCCTCTACAACCTATGTACTTCGAGTCCGTTGATATATGAAATCTGCCAACTTTTTTTTCTTCCCCGAGAGAATCTGGGGCCCAACTTTGACGGCCTATATCTCGGACGCAATGCAACGCGGTTGCGTCAAATTTTCAGGACAGGTAGCTATGGTACCATACTTTCCACCCATGCAATAAAACAAGGGCCAATTTTGCCAATCTCCACAGGGCCCCTTGTAACCCTAACCCTAACCCTGCATGGTGACAGCCCTCAGGTAGCAAAAAGTCGACTTTTTGGGCACCTCCCCAGCCACTTCCTACTTGACAAACCATCCCCAAACTTCACATACATGCCCTAAAGAGCGCTCCAAACAACTTTCATTAAGGCACAAAGAAGATCCGGGGTGGTCAAAATCTGGACCTGGTAAGGGTCCCCCCTTTGCTCAGGGGCTGAAAATGCAAATTCTACTTTTTCTCCGCAACCAACGGATGGATCTTTCCCATCTTCTAGGGGCCTTCCAAACTCATAAAGGTACACAACTTTCAATAAGGGACCAAGTCGAAATTCCCAACTTTTTGGCGTTCGACCCCAAAAGCAGACGTTTTTGCGGAGCGTCTACCGGGAAATTGGCAGTCTAAACTGAGTAGGGCTACTATTCAAAAGTTGTTCAGAAATGACTTTTGAACAACTTTCAATAAGCAGCCCTACCATGTTTTTCCCACAGAACACCTTGTAACCCTAACCCTAACCCTAACCCTTGAGCGTCTTGATCCTCTCTTTGACCGTCGACACGTCCATCGGCTGCCCTCCCTGGCCTGCACGCTGTGCTACGCCCTTGAGGACATGCACCAGCACAGGGTAGGCCTTGAAGTGGCTGATGCCGTCACGCCGGGAGCTGGACCGGAACTCCAGGCCGCCGTAGCCCATGCCGACCCTCAGGGCAGAGGGATAGCACCTGTAGCCTGAGCGTACAGCTGTGAGGGCCGGTGCTGCAAGCGTGATGGCCCTGGTGAGGTATGTGCAGCCAACATCGTACATGTTGGCCTTGCACATCGGATGCAAGGGGTCACCGAACGCCGAAGGGTCTTGAAAATTTTGCAGCGGCACCTTCATGCCGTAGCCCTGCAGGCGCACGCTTGTGCAGCCGATGGCCTGCAGGGCATCGACCACGATGCCAAGGGACAGCATCGGCTCCCCCATTGCAAACGCAGTTGGGTGCTCGTTCTTGTACACCTTGCTGTGCTGCGGTGCACCACGCAGATGCTCAAGGAGTGGGATCGTGTACTGTGGATGGCAACGGAAGAGCACGCCAAGCGTCCCAAAGTGGATCCAGCTGCTGAAGTGCTCCAGGTCATCAAAGTCCTTGGCGTAGCTGGCAAGGGTGATGTACGCCCCACGCCCAAACTGAGAGAGCAGCGCTGCTGGGCTGACGGTCACTGCAAAGGCATCCACATCAAGCGGAGAGCTGACTGGCAGGTCCAGCTCCATGTCTGGCTCCTCGAGCGGCCGCAGCACAGGAGGGATGTTGTCTGGCACTTGCACGGGCAGCGGTGCATCCTGTTGCACCGGTGAGCGTGAGCCTGTCTCCTGTCTTCTGTTCCTTGATGGTGCGGCTGGTATGACGACCACAGGCTGGGATCCCTGTGGGTATGTGGGCGTCGGTGTCCGGCTGCCTGCCGGACTGCCTGCCATGTTCCTTGCTGGTGCAGCTGGTATGATGACCACGAGCTGGGATCCCCGTAGGTACGTGGGCGTCTCTGGCCCCTCGTTCACTGGACTGCGTGCTGCGGTCCCCCTTGATGGGCTGTTCCCTGCCCTGTCCGTGCGGTGGGGCCCATCGCTTCAGCCACTGCGGATGGGCCCGTCGCTGCTGGACCGTCCACCCCTTGACGGCCGAGCGCTTGACGGCCTGGCGCTTGGCTGGCCGCTGCTTGCCTGCCTGCCACTGAACTGTCTGCCGTTTGACCGCTGCCTGCTTGAATCCTGCTCCCTTGACGGTCCATCCCTCTGTGCTCCACCGCTTGCTGCTCCCTGGCTTGCCCCGCTGCTGACAGAGGAGCCGGCATCGGGGACCGCATCGCCCAGCGGGCCAGTCAGAGGGGCTGCAGCTGGATCCACCGGGGCCGAGCTGGCTGTCACGGCCGTGCTGGCTGTGTGGGCGGCAACAGGGCTTGCCCCTGCCAGGCGTGCGGCCTCTGTGGCGGGCCTGCTTCCACCGCACTTCTTGATCCCCTGGTGCTGCTTGAGCGCAGCAGCACTGAGAACAAACTGGCCGCACCCACAGGCAACCAGACCTCT